AAATAGGGTGGTGAAGCACAATCGCTGAACATTTGCCGATTTTTGTTTCGTGAGAAAACAGCTTCAAGCCACACGAACACACACGGAGCCAAAAGCAGGCCAGAAGTACAAAGTTTAGACAAATGTGTGTACTACCCATCATTCCCATGCTCGCTGAAGCGCCGTGCATTGCAGCTCCCATAGACACTAGCGCCAGAGTTCCATCTAGTGTATATTGGGAAACTCTATGATCTCGGGAAGCTGGTGCAGGACCTCCAAGTTGCCTTTGCCACCTATCTTTCATTTTTTGCTAGTCTTGTGGCTCTCCCATGCCTCCAAGTGTTACTACTATTTCAAAACTGAAGCATTGTAAATGAGCTTAGACTTTCCTTTCTCTGAAACGTAATTGTATTAGTACAACATAATCATTTGAGGGTTCAACTTAATTTGAGGATGACACATTGAGCAATGGCAAAGGAAATGAACAATGTAAGCTTTTTGAGCATGGTCAGAAAGCGCTGCCGATCGGTAGTACAAGCTCTCAACAACATGTGAGCCAACTATTATAGTGTAGCACGTGGCCTAGAATTCACAATAAATCATCAAAGTCAGCTGAAAGTTGCTTTTTCTTCTCTCAAAAAATGATGAAAGAAGCTCAAAAATCACTCAAAAAAGGCTTTATATTAGCCATTGGCTGATTTGAACATGGCGCGCGCAGTCCTTACAGGGATCACCGTGGAAGGCAACGACTTGTCTACGTGTGTGCGAACGATCACTCTGAACAAGCCGTGAATTCGAAGAAGAAAAATGTGCTCAAGGTCACGAGGCGTGCGTGATGTATTTTCTTTGCCCATGCCATCCCTCCCTGCTTAGCTTCCAGCGTTTGACAAATCTTTGCAACTCCGCTTGTACTGGACAGATTTTTCAAATTTTTGCAGCATTTAATTCGTGAGGCAATGTGTTCTTTTAGCAAATTCATTCCATGGTTACTGGAAAAAGTGTCTCAGGGCCTCTTCAAGCGACAGGAAGAGAGTAGAGTAAGTCAGGGAACAAACGGGGTTAAGGTTATCTCAGTTTAATTGAAGAAGAAAAAGAAATGAGCATAGCCTGGGGACATAGCTCATGGACAGGATAATCGCTGATCATTAAGGGTAACTTACTGAATTCCATGAAAAGGCAAATGCATGAAAGGAAGACAGAAAATTGGGTGTGCACATGACTCAAAAGTTTGCTGGTATATCGTGGCAGCTGAAAGCACAAGACCAGGTTTATTGACGGAACATGTGAGAGGCCTGCACTGGGTGTAGTCAGGCTGATGACGAATTATTTTACATAATTTTAATGACAGTGCCGGGCATTTGCTAAAGAACTGCTTTTTTGCATCGTAATTTAATTTATAAGGGCTATGTCACTTTAAGATAATACAAGGTAGCTTTGTTGTCCTCAATCCATATTGGGCCCATAGAAATATGTAGCATGCAAAAGCTTCAAGTAGCACACACATACAAAGTCAATTTTATTTTCTAGAACCGCAATAGACGCTTTATACTTGGTGCTTGTGTAGCAGTGTAGGTGGCCACAATATTGTGCCCAGTCTTTTAGTCCTTCCACCTCATGTGAAAGCCAGTCAATGCATTTTTTAAAACAGTAAAGCTTCTTTACTGCACTGATGTATTGCAGAGTTATAAAGACAGGCAGTCTATTGTCTGAGACACTATGCGAGCTGGAATGAGGATGTGGTATTTCTAGAATAGAATGCTTTTGTAGTCGTGTACATATTTGAGCCTTGCATGCACAAGTGCTGCAATCACAGCAAATTTGCTTAAAAATGAAAAATAATATGTGCTAAGTTATGTGCTTTTCCACACTTCCTCATTGATGTATGTTGTGTGTGATCACTTAATAAAGTAAAAACGGAAGCTGATTTGCAAGTTTTACTGAGTGTGAAATGGTTTATTTCGGCTCTGTCAGCAATGGTGAAACCTTGCTGATTTGAGCCTCCGAGCTTAGATCTCGTAAACAAAGATAATGTGTTGTTCAATCCTGTTTATTTTCATAAGGTGAGGAAAGCAGTAGCCTACATGGTTATTCTTTTAAATTCTTTCATGTTTCAAGGACAACCACTTGTATTTTGGTATACGTCAGCATCCATCACTTCACTGTGTCCTGCTAAGCTTTCCAACGTAAAGCAAATTGAACAAAGTATTTTTTTTTAGTAATGCACTCAACAGTAACTCTGAATGTCACTTGCACTTCATGTGTATGCATTAAAGTGACATTGCACCAAGTGTTGCATGAATAACTTTGCAAGGTGGCAATCAACATTTTTACGAAGCTAATGTTTACTGCACTGAAACTTCACAAAAAAGTTTTCGTTAAAAAAATTAGACCACAGTCTTCTCTGGACCGAAATACGGTAAAGTATTAATCATCATCATCAAACCAAAAGAAAGACGTAGAAAAAAACTACTGGGCGACGTACTCCACTCCCCACTGCCCCGCCACAGTGGTCTAGTGGCTAAGGTACTTTGGCTGCTGACCTGCAGGTCGCGGGATGAAATCCCGGCTGTGGCGGCTGCATTTCCGATGGAGGCGGAAATGTTGTAGGCCCGTGTACTCAGATTTGGGTGCACGTTAAAGAACCCCAGGTGGTCCAAATTTCTGGAGCCCTCCACTAGGGCGTTTCTCATAATTATATGGTGGTTTTGGAATGTTAAACCCCACAAATCAATCAATCCACTTCTCACTATTCCCCACACCCAATGCCTCTATAGAAGCATGCACTGTTAAATGAAAGCAGCTGCAGTTGGTGCCATAGCTTTAATGTGGTAGAATTGATAACTTTTAAGTATCATCATTCGAGACAGTGCACGAATCATTTTTACAATGCTGGTGATTCACACAAATGTGGTAATAAAGTAAAGTTTATGTGAATTTGTACAGCTGCACGATATTTTGGTTGAAATCATCCAGCAGACTGAAAGGAAGTCGTGTATACCTGGTGCTGTCACTGATGCGATGCTTAATATTTTTCGTGGTGGCTGTCATTATAAATCTTGGCATTATTAAAGCTATTCAGGCTAGACAAACCTTCTCCTCATCCAAGGAACGCTATTTCAAAGATTGCTTTTGTACCTCTGATGAAATTGGGAACTTTGATCGGGGAAGTCAGCAGAGTTACCTTTGGGCAAGTTTTCATAATGACATGTTGCTAGTATATTTGTTAGAACACTCAAGTGCAATACTATGGTTATAGTTCAGTGCTCTCAGGCTAAGCTTTCTGTAGTCATGCAATGTCTCTCTGAAAGTAGAGAGCATTTCTATTTTTTTGGTATTCATGAGTCTTGGCTGAAACACCATCAATCATTTCGGTGACCTATTTTTTTTCAATAAATTTTTTCACACAATGCTGTGCTGGGATTTTCTCTTAGGGGAGTAAGGGTTGGGATGGAAGTTTTTTTTTTTCCACAAATATATACCTCTGAACGTATGCTTCTTTTTATGAGTGACCTCGGTGATATATTTTTCATAGTGTGGCATTCTTGCCCTTGGCTATTGATTGGTGTAATGTTGCAGTGTTTTGATAGGTTTGATGATCTGTTGTCATGAAACAACCATGCAAAGCCACCATATGTGCAACCCTCAAAACTTTGAAAATTTCGCATTAAAACAATGCACTAAGTGTTGCAAAGTTGTAATGTGGTAAAAGGGCATCCTTTGTTACCCGTCCATGACAGGACTTGCTAGAAACTGACTTGAATATTTGCATCCATGTTGATTATTTCACTTAAGTGTTAGGCCTCTTGTGTCTTTTTTGTGATCCATAGAAATGTATTGTTCACTTCATTTCACAATTAAAGATTACAAAAGTTCTAATCATACCTGCCCCGTCATTTTTCTTTTGGTGCCATTTTTTTGTCATTAAAGCATTTACATGAATGAATTCCACATATTTCTTTAGCAGTTAGATTTCATGCAACATTAGAGCTTCTCCGTTATGATTAAAAAGGTTCATTCCCAATTCCTGGCATTAGAGCATGTTTGACAAAACTGCCATGTTTTGTTTCTTGAATTTTTTACTGCATACTGTCGTGGAAACTGCGGGTATATCATCCATTATTTGTTGAATTCATTTAGGTTGTGTGTAGCAGTCATGATGTACTGGTTTAATGAGTAAACATCACATATTAACACTTGCCAATAAAAATTAAATGTAATCATGACAAGTGTATTAACTGCAAATAGTGGAGGACAAAACATGAGAAGATGCATGTAGTGATCTTTCGAGGCAACTGTGATTTGCACCAGTTACAGTTTATTGTACAGTTTATAATGTCAGCACTAAGTTATGTTATGGCGGCCAACGGCGGCGGTCAGCACATTTTGTTCTCTTTTTAGCCACACACGTTAGAGTTCTTTTATGTGGATTTCTTGCGACGGAAGTCGCATGTATCATGCAAATACTAAACCACGCAACACTTTTGTTTTGAAAAACGTCGGAATGAAGACCGCGAAGCCGAAAGCACTGCAAAATGTAAAAGTGCGCTTTTGCCTTCGTAGTGGCAAGCGGCGGTCACAACAAGTTCTTCAAGAAACGAGACTGTAGAACAAAAAAATGTACTAGAAAGCGTGATAAGAAAAAAAGAATATTAAGCATCATGAAGCTGGACAAGTTGTTTGGAAACGCTAAAACTGTTTTTCTTCCAGCAGACGACGTAATGCCAGAGCCGTCTGCTAGATAATTATAAAGCCATATGATTACAAATAATAATAATAATAAATGAATAAGAAACGTAAAGTGCCGTTCAGATAATGTCTCCAGAGTTCTAACTATTAAGCGAATAATTATATAAAAAACTTGTTGCAACACAAAAAAACAATTTTTTTTAATTCTACGTCGTATCTACCATTTTTTAAACATTCTTTAGTTGGTATCATCATCACGACAACGAAAAGTAGCTGGTCACCTTTTTCCTTCCTCCGTGTAGCCGGTTTTGTTTGTCCGATGCACGGAGGAAGGCGTGGGTCGATGCAAGCACGAGAGGAGGTCGTAGCCCGATGTGCACGCGTTCTCATCGAAGATACAACAAATCTTGCTGCTTGTGCGTTAATCATGTCTACGTATGCAGATGGAAGTGCTTGCCTGCAGATCTAATGCCCCAATCTCGGCGCTGCGCACTCAGCTTTGCTTATCAGATATTCTTTCGAAAGGCGCGAGCTGGCGCGTTTTTTTCTTGGCTGGCGATGCACTCTTCCGTCACAGTACATTTTTTTCGCCTCTCAGGGCCGTTCCTTCAGGTGTAGTGTACTGCAACGTTTGCGCGAGTTTCCCAGCTCAGCGCAGCACGCCCAATTAATACGAGCAGTCGCTGACGGACCAACGCGCGTCACTTGCGGCAGCTGACACGTGGTAAGCACACGCCGTTCGAGCAAAATTTACTTAATTTAGTGGCAGAGATAGCGCGCCCACTGCAAGCGACACCGTCTGTTCGGATCACCGCCGTCTCAACAATGGTAATCATTCAGCTCGGCCGCTTGCCTTGTTTTGCCAATTAGTGTAATCAGTATTGTTATTATTACTGTGACTATGACATACTATGACGGTTGTTTCATTTAATAAAACAGCCAAGCAAAAATGAATACACACAATGCTTGTGGCGTTAAGTCCCGCACGTATGGCATCGGGGCACGCACCCAGGAATTTTTTTTTTTTTTTTTCGGGGGATGTGGTGTTCGTGTGTAGAACGGCGGATTTTGGCAACTGTGAAATCGACGTGGAGGCGTGTAAATGCCTTACTATCACCCGATGAGAGTTAAATCACGAAAAAAAAATTGAGGGTAGGCGGGCTCAAAACTCCTCCAACTTCCCCCTAGTTAGGGCCCTGTATGGCATTTACTTCACTACAACGACAGCGTTGCAATGGCTTTCCGCGCTTAGAGCAGCGGCAGTGTTGAAGTTACTATGTTTGAAGACCACCAAACCATGTCAAGATTGTCAAGCTCAGTAATTCTCAAGATTACACAATAGGCGTTGTGCTGATTGTGAAATCTGCATGGAAAGTCATAAGCTTTGGGGGGAACCATTCCTATTCCATTTCAGTTTTTCCCACCCTTGCTTCTACGAGAAGTATGTTTTTAAAAAATGTAAATCCTGTGCAAGAATGAAGAGAATAAAATTTGTAATTTCACTAAAAACCTTCACTACGATAAATGTGTCGTTGCACATGCTTAACGGTGATTCTGCCTGCTCAATTCTTGTTTGCATGTCTATCTTGGCAATTGTTTTGTAAATATAGTATCCGGCACAGTTTTATAACAGATATTTGCTGTTGTGGACCACGATTGCTCTAGACAAGAGGAATCAAGCTTGTAGTGAACAAAATCGGTCATGTTATGCCATGATATCTCGCTTCCAAACATTGCATGAACATCTTCAATGCCCTATTCCTGCCAGATGCTCCAAAGCAATCACAAAATGTAATAGACTGCCAAATTTCATCGTATTTTATTTTGCCACTGAGTAAACTGACTGCTGAATGAGACTTATGTAAGATAAGAGGAGGGATGTCTAAATACCAAATATTTTCTTATGATATTGAATATGAGTCTTTGAGAACACATAGTTTACACATTGAATCAATTAAAAAATGTTTGCAATGTCTTACAGATTTAAATACAGGTTGCATAGAGCCAGGCCAGCATTTACGATTAAGGGGAGTGATAACATGCTACATAGTAGACTGTCATGTTTACTGAAGAATATAGTACTATATGCCCACACAACATTTTAAACAGCCCCGCTGTGGTGGTCTAGTAACTAAGGTACTCGGCTGCTGACCCGCAGGTGGCGGGATCGAATCCCTGCTGCGGCGGCTGCATTTCCGATGGAGGCGAAATGTTGTAGGCCCGTGTGCTCAGATTTGGGTGCACGTTAAAGAACTCCAGGTGGTCGAAATTTTCGGAGGCCTCCACTGCGGCATCTATCATATTCATATGGTGGTTTTGGGATGTTAAACCCCACATATCAATCAATCAATATTTTAAATAAATTCAGTTGCAATGAGATTGTCGAAGCAGTAAAATGCTTCGCCCAAATCCAGACAACATAATCAGAACTGATGAAGCAATCATGCATATTGGATAAAACAATCTCACAGTAATGGCCTTATTCACTCATTTGCCGAGAAATTGGTGCCAGCATCTGTGCGAAAATTCTAGTTTTCTGCAGCAGAATCATTTTGAAGTCTGCATTTGCAACAATCTTTCTATGCTGCAAGTCTTGCTATATTTGCACGTTATTTCAACAGAAAATTCTTGGCATAGACTAGTGAATTCACAAATTAAGTATGGATGAAATTGTAAAGATTATTCAAATTTCAAAGTTTGAATATTCACACACATCTACCTGTAAATTAACTTATTCAGGTGTGTTGACTACATGGACTTTCATATGTTGATTCCCTGCAATCTGGCTAACATGAAACCAGTAATGAAGCTATCCAATCTGGGGCTTTGATAACAAACAATTTCGGATCGGCAGATATTTTCACTTCCTAACTGTGTCATTCCCATGTACTGCTAGCTGATGAAGCAATTTGCGAAATGTGGTAAGGAAGTAAGCTTCTAATGTAGTGCCACATATTTTTTTCTCTACTTTTAAGATTGAATTCACATTTTGTGCACTTCTGGTGTCATCCTGTTCATGATATGTATAGCTTTACACATTTGTAACCATTTCAGCTTTAATTGTGCATACTTTCAGATGTTGTTTTCAAATGCAAGCATGTAGATCTACCATATGATTGATAATTCTTTATTTTCAGGTTTGTGAACAATGTTTCTTAGATATATTTTCAAGTGTCTTGCATTTGCTAACAAGTGCTCATTTGTTTCAATTTGGTCACTCCTTTCTTTTACAGTGCTTTGTTCGTGCTATGCAGGCCTCACTTTAAAAAGGTCACTCTGTAGCAAGATCCTTGCTGCTTTTCAGCATGTTTCGAATAACGGCTGTTTCAAGGTGAGTGTATACTTTGCGCTTTTCTTGTCCTGCAATTTTTCTGGGGTTGTGAGCAGTGTCAAGCGTTTCTAAGTACATTTTTAAGCAGTGCAGAACATTACATAAAGGTTAAACCGCACAAGTATACTCTCCGCTGTGTCTCATGTTCTACACTGTTTAATTAAACATGAATCCTAACTAACTGGCCCTAGTCTCTCTTCTGCATTACTAATAGCAACAATAGGTAAACTGTGCTTCTATGTCAAACTGCTGATAAACATTCTCTAGCACCTATTTCTTGGCTTTCTCATGTATCATCTAGTGCTTTCTCTTGGGTAACGTAGAACTATATATTGCACCTACACAATCATAATTATGCCTGCCACGATGGCTCAGTCGCTAAGGTAATACATATAGTGGTTTTAGGACGTTAAACCCCAACAATTGTTTTGAAGAAAGTGATCATGAAAGCAACAAGAGCATTTGACCTCGCTAATTACACCACAGTTTGTTTTGTGTGGTGCTATCCTTCAGATACTAATGAAACACCAATCATACTTGAGTTTTGTGCTGGTTCTAGTTGAAATGGCATACCTGTACATAGTTCAGTGCTTCAAAGCCCATACAGGAATGGGAAACAATTAAGCACAGATGATCAGGGCTGTATTATAAGTAAGCTAGTTGAAGCTTGATAGGCTTAGTTGTATTCATATTAGTCAGTTGTAATCTTAGGTCTGCCAAAGAAAGTGGAACTCACTCAAGAAATAAATGTTGCACTTTGGACTCACTCGGACTCACACTAAAAAAATATTACTCACCCGGACTCGCTCAGGCTTACGACTCGGTCTGAGTTGACTTGTGTGAGTTTGCCTACCTATGGTTGTTAGTAGTATATAGCAATGACAGCATTCTATTTTTGCCAATGTACTTTTTACCTGTTTACATGAAGAATGGCATAAGTGAAGCGGCACAAACATGGGCACACATGCTTGTATCGTTTCACTTTGGTCCTTCTTTCAAATAGTACGTTGCAAGAAAGAAATCAGTGTCACGTCGACTAGCCCCTCTGATGGAATCTTTATTAACAACGATATGCCCGCACCTTTTGCAGTTCTGCAAGGCAACTGAGGTGGCTGGCCCTCAGGTCCCTGCTTAATACTCAGTGCCGCACGACCACCAGTGAGGCCTCAGTTGTGGAACGCGAGGTTCGAGAGTTGCAGATCCCCGTTCCGCATGGGCACCTGGCTGCCAAGCAGTGGCTGCCCACATCGGCCGAGGACCCAAGCCGACGTGTTCTCATGATCCATGGTTACTTGGACAACGCTGGAGGCTTTGACCCCCTTGTGCCATGGCTTAACCCTCGGTGGCACATTGTAGCCCCAGATTTAACGGGCCATGGCCTGTCTTCACACTTGCCCAATGGAATACCATATACTTCATTGCAGTTTTGGTTCGACATCGCATACACAATAGACCATCTTGGCTGGAATCAATGCTCCATAATTGGGCACAGCATAGGCGGTCAAGCGGGCTTGCATTACAGTAACCTTTTTCCTGAGAGGGTGAGTATAATAAAGGTCCCATTTTATTAAGGGAAACTATGGTAATGCCATTTAATGGCTACATAAGAAAAGGTGTTGGTTCGTGTGCTTACGTTTTCTGTAGAACTAAAAGGTTTTGTCAGTGCAACGGTCGTATGATAAAAATAAATAAATGATAAAAAATAAATGATAAAGTTTTAGCATATATGCGCCAGTTTGAGCCTAGGTCAAGGTCTCACGTCAGCATTTTCATCTCAAGCTTGAAAATCTTTACTATTTTATAACGGCTACTTTGTTGAGGGGACTGACAACTGGCAAGAATGTGTATTTAGGTCCTGGTGAAAATGAAAAGATTGAATCGTAGTGACCGATTCAAGCATTGTCTTGAATAGAATATTTATATTGAGGTTGCACTTAAAAGTCACAAAAAGATACTACGTAGCTTAGCCAAGTAGAGAAGCTTCGAAGGGGTATTGTGAAGTTGTTCACTTTGTTGTCGGTTATCGGGTGCTTTCATGTGCACCAGAATGAGGATTCAAAATTAATGCCTGTGATATTACCCACTTTTGTTCTGTTCTATGTTCCTTATTAGATAAAAGGAGTTGACTCTTCCAAGCGATGCTGCATCCGTGGCAACAAGTGGAACATGTTGAGCCGAGGTGTATGTCCGCGAAATGCAAGCATGTGCATCAAACTGCAGCACGCAAACACGAACCACTGCCGTACTGACTGCCCACCGTTTATAGCATGTGCAGTGTGTACGTCTTCACATTTGCCACAGATCTTAAAATTCTGACGATGACTCTTTTACATAGGCTTGTGCTAATAGTAAATCTTAAGGCCAAAGGGAATTTGAATAGTACAATACCGTGTATTATTGAAAAAAGTTGAGCATATTTATGATGACCCTACTAATCTGCTTGATATACAGGGTGTCCCAGGTAACTATAGCCAGAGTTTAGAAATATGCCAACACACGCAATTACTATGCGACCAAATGCATGTTGCTCACTGTTGCCTGAAGTTAGTCGGACTATTTTTTGAGTTCTCAAGTATTGTTTAATTAGATCTGTTTAATTAACTAACTTTTCAAAAAACGAATATGGATAAAAGTTTCAATGAGAAAGTTGCAGATCGGTTTGCAAAACGTCTGATTAAACAGTTTTGAATTTTATATCTATCAATATTAGTGTTTTTCTGCTAATTACAAATGCCCTCGAAATAGAAAAAATACCACGTGACAAACTCGCTCATGCACCAGTGCGCACAATGATTATAATGCTAACGTTCCATATACAAACAAGCATAGCATTTGCACCATTGTGCTGTTTCGGCAGGGCCACAACGATGATGGTGGCTTTACGATGAACACGTTTTGCTATCGGCCTCAAAAACGATAGCCGCTGTGATTGCTTATCGCTGTCATGAACGAGTGTGAGGGAAGCGTGTCGTTCGTACGCGGAACCCTAGGGAGCACTAGAATCATAGTGCGCCCTGAAGCGGGAGCAGGTTTGTCACGAGGTATTTTTTTTTCGTATTTTGTGGGCATTTGTAATTAGCAGAAAAACACTAATACCTAACAGATATAAAGTTCAAAACTGTCTAATCGGACCTTTTGCAAACCGATGTGCAACTTTCTCATTAAAGTTTTTATCCATCTTCGTTCCTTCAAAAGTTAGTTAAATAAACAGGTCTAATTAAACAATATCTGAGAACACAAAAAATAGTCTGACTAACACCAGCCAATGGTCGGTGAGCAACATACGTTCAGTCCCATCATAATTACGTGTACCGGCATATTTTTAAGCTCCGGCTAAAGTTGGAACACCCTGTATATTTCTTTGTAATTGAAGTGCGGCATGTGCAAATGCCATTTCTTTTGGTTCACAGGAAGTGGAAGCAACGTTGAAGAGTAACAGGATTTGACATTGGATAAAATGAAAGCGATAACCTGTAAAGTATGCTACGTTTTAAAATTTACTATGCTTAAAGCAAATAAGCCAACATAACAAGCTTTTAAACTTTAAAAGTGATGAATCGGTGTTATGGTAATCTATTCATTTAACCTTGAAATGGGGCTACACTGCAGTTTGGATTTTTCTTGGATAGGTGTTTTTACAGCTCGTTACCCCTCTAATGCAGTGAAACCACCTTTTAAAAGAGTTACATGTGGATTAATATACACCAATTAGTTCATTTTGGATACTGCAAATCTTCAACAATTTAAATTTGAATTGAAATGAATTCGAATACAGTAATATTCGTTCCAATTATCGAAGCGCTCGAATATCCACTGCACAAGCTGACTTTTGCAGCATTTTTCACATTACCAATCTGTTGTTCGACACTTTTATCAGCAAGCTATCCATTGCATTAAAAAAAAAAAAAACAAGCACCATAAAAAGTCGGTTGTCGGTCCCTTTATAGGTTATTCACTCAATGACTGTGAGTTACATGCTAAACATATAACCCAGCAGCATAAAATATATTTGTAGTAGATATGTGTACACAACAAAGTGGAAACTAATACACACAGCTATATCGGTGATCCACAATATACAGAGGTGGGGGAAAATGTAACAAAGGGGAACGTGCCAATGAGCTTCTGCTGCTGCTGCTTGCAGAAGCACCCTTTTGTATGCGATCACTCATTGTTCAATTTGCGGCTCATTGCTCCACTCATGGCTCTTCTACCACATTTTACTGCGTTAAGCCAACAAGGTTTAAGTACCGTATGCTTTACACTTAGGCTAACAGCCCACAATTTTAGAGCATAGTTAAGTACACCAACATAGCAAACTGATTTAGATTAGAAGAAAAAGCTTGTTCAACATTGTGTAACTGGCATGATTATGCATGATATTGAAAAATTTTAAGACTGTGTGCTTTAGTCAGTCTCAGCTGCTGATCAGTGGTGCAACATTCACCTCTTGTATATGCCACCATCGAATAACGAAGATGTGTTTTGAGATCAACAGCTCAGTGAATGCCCTCAGCACAATGCCATCACAGCTTTTGTCACTGTCATCATCCTTTCTCCTCTCTCACTGAGCCTTTTAGGTGTTCTGAACACATCACATCCGTAGCTAGTCCATTTTTCATACCAAAGTTTTTGCAGAAAGTGGGTTGTAGGCAGTCTCATATGGGAGCTATTTGCTTCCAGTACCTTTTAGAATGGATTTCTACAACCGTCCCTCACTATTATATTTTGCAGGTGCAAAACTTGGTGATGATTGATGCCTTGGCACCTATGTTCGACCAACCTAGCAAATTATCGCGCAGCGTAAGAGAAGTGGTTGAGGGCAACATACGGTTTGATCATAAGGATCTCGGTAAGCCACCTTCTTACACGGAGGAAGAAGTGATAAAGCTTTACCGGCGTAGCTTAGTTCCGGGCTACCTTCCTGACAATATTAGAACATTGATGAAACGCGGTTGCAAGCTTGCTGAGAACGATCGTTACGTCATGACCAAGGACGCCCGCCTCAGGCACATCCAGTGGATTCGGATTGACAGTAGTGCTCTGAAGAAATACTACACTGGCTACACTAACAACCTGCTGGTACTGATGGCTGTTCCTGGCTTCGGATATACATCTGCAAAGCACAAGATACTAGCTGATGCCTGTGCACAAAGCTGCCGCAAGTTTCAGGTTGTTCAGATAGAGGGCAATCACCATGTGCACATGACTTATCCAGATGTGGTCGCTAGTCACATACGCCCCTTTTTAGATCCACACTGATGTGAAAAGTAATACAATGACCTTGTTTTTTTTTGTTTTTTTTGCCAGGCTGTGAAGGTGGTGATTTTTTTCTCTGTGTTGAAGCATTTTTTTTTACGAATGCTATACATTGAGAGCAATGTCATTTGTAGCTTCAAGGTGGCTGTGTTATGTTTGCTGCAGTTTTTTGCTGACTGTGTAAGGGCATTTGATATTCATGGAATCTCAGAATTTCACTATGAGTTTGAAAGTTCCTTATATGAAACAAAAGCTAACAGGTGAGATGCACTTATCTAGCATGAGTGTGACTAGCTAACTTTTATTTGGTAGGAGATATTTATATCACTCTTGCTTTAACTTTTGTATCGTTACCTTTTTTGTGCATCTTTTCTTCGAGTGTTTTTCATCCAGTATGCTTGCACGAAATAGTCATTTTTCTGCTTTTATAAACATGGGGTTTGTGTGACTTTACTACAAAAAAAACATGTCCTTCCATTTTTAGAGTTTCGAGAAGCTTCATCTAACTAATCGTCAAGGTGGACCTTCTGGGCATTTTCACAGAATGCGCATTGACTGACTAAAAATGTTTCCGAAACTCAAGTGCTTTCTCATTTGTACGTGATAAAGTGTATTACTCCCGTATTCACAAATGCTCAACAGGAATTTCGTCCTTTGCGTGACAGAGTTGAGCACTGCACCGCTGCTCGAGTACAAACGGCGCTCTACTTATCAATAAATGTTGCAGATTATCTCTGATATGCAGGGACTTGCTCTGCCTATAGGTGGTGCCCCCATCGACTTTCTCAAGTCAAGGTGAAGCATTGAGTGAAGGGACGTTCTAGAATACGAGGGTTAAATATAGGCAAAGTGGGAAGCAAGGGAAGTCATAGTTTCCCATGCTCAAGATTCTTTCTTGGTGTTCTTTGAAATATATACGAATGTGTGGGTGAACTAACAGAATGAGTAAATTATCTATCTTTATATTGTTAATCCACTCCTAGTGTCACCAGAAGTTGTCAGTGACTCGGTCAGTGTCTCGATGGCACCTAACATCATTTACTATGGGAAACAAATTTGATAAAATTTGTAATATTGAGTTACAAAGATTTTGATAACATATTTCAGTCTGTGATGTGATGTGTACATGTTGAGATTTTCTCATAAATTAATAAATGGAACCTTGAGAAAAGAAGAGCGATTTTTGTAACCTCTATTATTTCTGTGTGGCATGTCTTTTTATGGTTCTGTTGCTTTATTGGTTCATGTCTATAGTCTCCAGTGCAGGAGGTAATGGGTTCGTTCAATAGTGCCACTGTGCACCCACCGCTTTCTTTACTGGGGAGAGAGGTACCCCAACTTTGTACTACGTGTTGCCCCGTCGCGGTGGTCTAGTGGCTAAGGTACTCGGCTGCTGACCCGCAGGTCGTGGTATCCAATCCCGGCTGAAGCGGCTCCATTTTTGATGGAGGCGAAAATGCTGTCGGCCCGTGTGCTCAAATTGGGGTGCACGTTAAAGAACCCCAGGTGGTCAAAATTTCCGGAGCCCTCCACTACGGCATCTCTCATAATCATATGGTGGTTTCGGGACGTTAAACGCCACATATCAGTTATTGTACTAGGTGTTGTGAGCACTCAATCCTTGTTGAAGTGGCCTGTTCTTTTCACTATTGTTCTGTGCATGGACCCTTGTGATCAAAGCAAAATTTAGTCTATGCAGAATGGGAAGAGCACCAATCAAGAGACACATTTTCTCGCCATTCCTGAAGCATGGAAGCCTCGAGTTCATTTGGTTGAGATAAGGTCGACCGTTTGCAGTTAAGTGAATTAAGAAAAAGAGTTGAAAATAATTTGCTAACCGAAAGTATCTTAGTATGTGCCATTGTTGGACTGTTCCCTTTCACGGAACAGTCTGGTGATTGCTAGAACAAAAGCAGTCTGAGAAAATTGGCAGACAAGTTACTCATCAGACTGAAAATATATGAAAACGGTGTTTTTGTTACAGATGATGGCTGTGGTGCCAAACAGCGGACGTTGTGTGCAAGAGAGTGCATGCAGTTTGGGTTACTAATGGACATCGATGTCGTGGACAACATATTAGTTGCTGTAAGTGGGTGAAAAATGTCCAGGAAGAAAGTATTTAAAGACGCAGAGCCAATATATATATATAACTATATATATATATATATATATATATATATATATATATATATATATATATATATATATATATATATATATATATATATATATATATATATATATATATATATATACATATATACATATACACGGCAGGTTATTTTCTCACTCACTTTTCTTCATATTTACATTACATTGGTTCTAATAACTTTTCCTATGCATTCCTTGGCATTATTGTCTGTTAGACCTCATTACTATTGTGTCAAAACACGGAAAAACGAGCCCTTAAGTATGCACTTCCTTCATTGTGTATATATATATATATCTGTGTACGTGTGTGTGTGTACCAGTGATCATGGAGGAAGGACACAACAATGACTGACCTCAATGGACGGGCAACATTTATAAAAATTAAGTGAACCTGAAATCTACTCAAAGCGCCAGACACTACGTGAAAGCCCAGCCTGCTCCCAAGGAGAAGCTACGACTATTATTGCACTACAAAGGGGTTGTTGGCTACGACCACGTCCGGTCCTTTACTTTCGGCAGCATATCGCACCCAACGCAATCACCCTCAAAGTGGTGTATGTGGTGACGTTTTTCTTCAGGTCAAGGTTGTTTTCTATCGTGGTGATAGATTTCAATTGGACTTGATTGCTATCGAAAAGTGGGTTGATCACTAACGCTCCTTTTTATCAAAAGGAAATCGGTAAATTCAGCTGCACTGAGCATCGGTAGCACAATGGAAACTGTTTCCTTCCTGCGTTATGGTAGCCAACGCCTCCTCTAAACAATGCCTGGGAAATGGCTCGCGCTCCCAGCGGAGTCGGCCTGCCTTCAGTTTTGAGCAGGCGCTCACCCCGGAAAAGAAGAAAAGTCACCCCGGAAAAGAAGACACAAACCCAAAAGTTGCTGGGATGAGGAAGTTAAGAGAGCCATAGCAAAACATCAGGAAGCCTCTAGGGAACACAGACATGCTAAGCAGCGGGGTGAACCGACAGATGATGTTGAAAGAAAATGGGAAACCTTTCTAAGCTGTAGAAGGAATGCATCCCTTCTGATCAATGAAAAGATTAGAAGAAAGGGAGCTCAGTGGCTGGCAGAAGTACATAAAAAAGATAGAAAGGCAGCTGCAAAATTTTGGAACCATCTAAACTCCCTAAGAAAGAGACGAGCCTAGAGCAGAGTTTTATAACTACAGCCCAAGGTGCTAGGCTAGAAGGGGACGAAGCTATTGAATATATAAGAACATGGATGACAGAAAAATTTCAACAAAGAAGTACTTTATGTGCCACAGTAGACAAGGACGAATCAAGTGGTGCAATGGCTCCGTTTTCACAACGAGAGTGGGAAAGGGCTGAGAAAAGGGTTCCTAGTAGTACATCAATAGGCCCAGATGGCATTTCAATTATGCTGATAAAGACATTAGGTCCGAAGTCTATGCAGGCTTTGAGAAAGGCAGTGAGCAAAATAATAATCGATGGTGAAGTTCCCGATGGATGGAAACTTAGCAGGATGAGCATGATCTATAAAAGAAAGGGGGACAAAGCTGACATAAACAACTACCGTCCTATAACAGTGACATCAGTGGTCTACAGGCTGGCGATGCAGATTATAAAAGAAAGACTGCAGGCATGGATAGAGGATGAGGGGTGCTGGGGGAACTGCAGAATGGGTTTTGGAAACACAGGAGGTTGGAAGACAATCTGTTCTCACTGACGCAGTGTATTGAAATAGCAGAAAAGGAACACAGGCCCCTGTGGCTAGCATTTTTGGATATCAAGGGAGCGTACGATAGCGTGGTTCAAGAGGAATTGTGGAGAATACAGGACACACTAGGCGTGGCACATGTAGTCACTAATCTTTTAAAGGATATCTATAAAGGTAACAAGGCAGTTATAAAGTGGGAAAAACAGGTATCCAAGCCTGCAGAGGTGAAACGGGGGCTTAGGCAGGGGTGACCCCTGTCACCCTTATTATTCATGATGTACCTACAAGGATTAGAGGCCAAATTAGAGGGAAGTGGACTGGGCTTCAACCTCTCTTTAGTCAAACAAGGAAAACATTGATCAGGCACTACCAGCATTAATGTACGCAGATGATATAGTGCTAATGGCCAACAACAAGGAAGATTTGCAGAGATTGATGGACATCTGCGGTAATGAGGGAGATAGGTTAGATTTTAGATTCAGTAAGTAAAAAGCAGCAGTCATGATTTTCAATGACAACGAAGGTAGTGAGCTTAGAATACAGGAGGTCACGCTAGAGATAACAAATACAAATATCTGGGCGTATGGATAAGCAATGGGACGGAGTACCTGAGGGAACACGAAATATACGTGACGACTAAAGGTAACAGGAATGCAGCAGTGATGAAAAATAGGGCACTGTGGAATTACAATAGGTATGATGTTGCGAGAGGAATATGGAAAGGGGTCATGGTTCCTGGGCTGACGTTCGGCAATGCGGTCTTGTGCATGTGATCAGAAGTTCAAGCAAGATTAGAAATTAAGCAACGTGGAATAGGTAGGCTTGCTTTAGGAGCTCACGGGAATGCACCAAGTCAGGGAGTACAAGGTGATATGGGATGCACATCATTTGAGGGCAGGGAAGCTAGCAGCAAGATAAAATTTGAGAAGCGATTGAGAGAAATGGGGGAGGAGCGTTGGACTAGGAAGGTTTTCAGCTACTTGTACATGAAGAATATCGATACAAAATGGAGGAAGCGAACCAGGAAATTTACTGGTAAATACTTAGAAAACAGCAGGTGGCCAAACCAAAAAGAACTATCGGTTAAGAAGTGAAGGAAACGGAGACTGACATGTGGAGAATGGGCATGATTAAAGCCCAAACCACATAAGCGCAAAAATGCACGCGACAGCGACGAGCGACGCGACGTAGATCGTCTTCGCGCGATCAGTCGCTAGCGCAGGCAAACCATAGAGAAAGAAGTTTCTCTATGGGCGAACCTCATTCACGCGACGGCTTCGGCGAGCGAATTCCACTGTTGCTGGCATGAGGCCGTCAACTCGCACCAAAAAAACCACGTAGCGAGCGGTTTTCAATTTAAAAATTAGATAAATTGTTGTGTAATAAAATGGAAAGTGTTTATTATTGCCTTGCAGCACTTTTTTTATATGCACATACGTAATAAACATTGCGTTATTTTTTGTTGCGCCCACGTGACTTGGGCAGGTTCACGTGCAGTGGATCCTTGGCGAGTTGTGACAGAAAAGCACGTGAAAACAACCGGCAGTACGTCACTGATGTATATCCTTTTTCGGTTTTTTTCTATTGGCTGCTTGAGCCCAGCACTTCCGGGCGATGAGCGACGGTTTCCAAATCTGGAGAACCGAGCGATTGCGCGAGAACGAGCACGCGACACGTCGCGCGAACGCCCTGTTTCGTCGCTCGTCGCTGTCGCGTGCATTTTCGCGCTTATGTGGTTTGGCCCTAAGAAGTCCGCACTAGAGATCTATCGAACATTTAAGCAGGAAATTGCCAAGGAAAGGATCTATGATAATACTCGGGGTAGTTCTCTACTGTTTGAGGCCAGGACGGGAGTACTGCGAACCAAGACATATCAGGCCAAATACGAAGGGGTAGACCAAGGAGGGATAAAAACAAGTTTTTATATCCTCCTTGGGGTAGACACAGTATGCAGTGCGTGTGGAGAGGAAGAAGAAACTGCCGAACACTTGATAATGTTCAGTAAAGGGCTTCACCCTATAGTTTAGGATGATGGCGCAGAGTTTTTCAAAGCACTGGGGTTTCAGGGACCGGGAGGGCAAAATAGACTTTAAGCGGGTAGACTTAACTAGAAGGAGGTTATCTGATTGGTGGCTAAAGTCAAGGCACGAGTGAAAATTGAACTCTTCACTGCAAAGTACAAATCCTCAAACTCACTGTTTAAAGAAAAAAAAATAAATATAATTTTTGATTCATTAAGTATTAAGTCTTGATGGCGCTAGCCACCGCCCAATCTAAAGGGTACAGTCATATCCGTCCATTTATCTATTATCACGACCATGACCTACTACACTCCTGACCTGCCCAGAGAGCACCTCTTCCAGCG